GCCCCTCCAAACTCTTTCTACAAGAGAAGACAAGACAAATGTTCAACTCTACATCTTCAGTCAAAAGTCAACTTAAGAAACTTAACTAAAGAGAATAAACTATATGTGTAACTGCAACCTAACTTAACTCTAATGATTGATTGTGTTTGTTCTCTCCTCTGATCAATGATACAGTGTCTGAAGATGGTGAAACTGAAGACAAGGTCTCTCTGGTTCCTCGCTGCCTTCCTCTTCCTGTCCACTGTTCCCACAGTGGCTGAGGTGCAACATGCATTTTCTTTGTGTGAAGGGTTTCTCCTTCAGGGAAATCCGCCACAGATCCCAGGCATCGTGAACGGCAGGAACATCCAGAACCAGAACCGATACAAACCCATTTGCCAGACTTACAATAATGTGAGAAGGTATCTGACGCTCTACGACACCAGGAACAGGATTCCAGTGTTTTCTGCTTACGTGTACAGAGGGGACAACGGAGGGGCAAGACCTCAAGGGGAACTCTGGAAGATCGAACCACAGGTGTGTTTTTCTTTCTCTGGTTCATAAAAGACTGAATTAATAAACATACAGTGATATTGTATTTTGTGTGCCACTCGTGCATCCACATCCATAGAAATACTACGACTATTAACTACTAATAACAATAATTGTAATCTACCACTATAAGGAATAACAATCATACAACTACTTTCACTGCACTTTCATGTAGAGGACACTGGTCTACTGACAGTTTGTTCAACCCTGGTTGGACCCTCTAATAATAAAACAGCTGTCAGAGGTTAGTTTATGGTTTTCTCTTTAAGCAGAGACTCCAGGCTGCAGCGTCACACTGGTGATATTCTGTTTTTGTTATTGTCAGAAAAATCCATTAAAAAGCCAACAGCAACAATACTTTCTGACTTCTCCACTCTGTCTGCAGCAGTAGCAAAGATCTGCTCACAGATATATAGTTGTTTATATATATTGTAGGAGTAAATAATTTGTTTTGGACTATTTTCAGTGGTGGATTATTCTCATTATTATACTGGTGATGTAGTGAGTATTTGGTGCAGCAGGACTGTGTCTGTGAGACTGAGGTAAATTAAATTACAGTGTGTGTTCATGGTTCTTTATATCTGCCCAGGTATTACAGTTAAAAATTTGCCAGGATAGTTAAACTGTCACAATTACAGAAATGTTCATTAATGATCAATGTCTCTGTCACTTTAAATTGTATAAAACAATTTCAAAAACATGTCAGCAACAATGTGGCTCACTGACAGCAGTGAAGCTCTATAGCACAAAGGAATAAGATTGATTCATTAAATATAATTGTTAATGTACGCTTAATTTATTTTATGGATATCAGCCTTCATTAACTTGGTCTTTGACTCTTACAGCTGGATGAGAGATCAACCAACAACAACAGGAACATGGCGGATGTAGAGGCAAGAAAAGTCTACCCCAACCAGGCCGGGGAAATAGATTACGCTCAAGGTCCACAGTATAACAGGGGCCATTTTTTTCCAAGTACTCATGCGTTCGATCGAGATGAAAAAATATCCACCTTCACCCTGACCAACGTCGCTCCACAAATAACAGCATTCAATGGGGAAAGCTGGGGCAGAATGGAGAGGTGTGTCAAATGTGTTATGCAGAGATACTGCGCGGACAACAATGGTCGTAGACAAGCCTTTCTGGCGGTGGGAGCACAACCCGGCAACAACAATCTCAACGGCAGGGTTAATATTCCCACCCAGCTCTGGTCCGCCTTCTGCTGCTTCAGTGCCGAGAGCAACGCGTGGATAGCGAGTGCGTTCTGGGGCAACAATGTAGCAGATATACGTCCAAACCAACATATGCGCCCCAGGACCCTGAGAGAGCTCAATAATAACCTGAGAATTGATGCGTTTACTAACAGTAGGTGTCCTCTCGACACAACTGTTGCTGGGCTTTACCCACAATTTGCAAACCAACGTGGCTGCGATTGCCCAACCTGAATTTAATCATGTATGCCCTTCCCATTTCAAGCTCTGCCCCTTTCACTGCCACATCTGGCCCTCTAGCTTCTACATTGGACATCAATCTTATATTGTAGCCTACCCCACTGCCCCCTTTTTCTTTTAAGCTTCAATCTGAGCAAATTATTTACATTTTACTTCACTATACTTTTGGTGTAATTTCATTTGTTACAATGATAGGACACTGGATGAGTGTCCTTTGAATGGCTTCAGATGGAAGACACAAAGTAAATGTACATGATTTGTAAAATGTGAATGAAATAAACTGCAGAACAGCCTGACTGCAAACACTGTGTGTGAAGTGGTGATTTTATCTTTACTCCAGTATTGATGTTGAATGTTTGTGATAAACTGAAGGATGAAGTGTTGCTTTATTGGTCAAATCTTTATTTATTAGACAATTAGTATCAAATTATTGGCCTTCACTAAAACTTTTGAAATACAGTAAATATTGATAATATCATTATTGTTACTATTATATTAACCACATAGATGCCCCTGTATCTACAGCACTGACCTACAGTAAAATTGGCATAATCCAAGGCACTCATTGCACAAAAATGTTTCTTCTAATCCGGTTCATGAGTTATTAGGAAAAATGTAAAATGATTAATAACCAACCACATGGTGACTCTGCGACGCCATGTCTTTCTGCTGGTATCGTCAAATATTTTGGTGATGTTTGATCAAACATTTTCAAACATAGAGTACTAATTATATTAAGACATTTATGGTCACTGTAGACTTGTTTGACCGATCTGAACGCTGTTTGAAACGTGATATAGTAGAAAAAGATATTGTGATTTGTGGAATAGACTATATGTTGCAGGAAGGGAAACTTATGTCACAATTCAGTGGATTTGCTGAAAAAAAATATTTTATTTCAGCCCTGTAAGATGCACAGGGGATTTATTTAGATTTATTTTAAGTATTAGAATTTCCAAAACACTAAATAACCGACCACATGGCAGCGCTATTGCAGACATGCCTTAATATGTTTAGCACATCTCAATGGGGCAGCTGCGTACTAGGTTGGATGACTTTAGCATGAATAGTATTTTAGAATTTGATTGTATATCTGACTCCCATTGATGGGTCTTTCAAAATATATTACAGTAAAATATTCATATCAAAAATGGTCCAAAAACGTACAGAAAAAACAGAATAAATCAAAATAAAAACAGAAGATAACAATAATCACACAATAAAGACTGAAGATAATATAAAGAGCCAACATTTACACAGATAGCAGGTAAGTATTTGGAGTAGTATATCATTAAGGTCCACTTGGCAACACAGAAAGTTTCTAACATCATCAGGTAAACTTATCACACACCACAAGATTGTCCCTGAGTTGTTGGATGCCATCTAGCTTCCAGAACCGGTTTCTGTATGTAAATATTTGTTGTTGACGTATGATAAAGATCATGCCTCAAAACGAGGGATGTGTACAGAATTAGATAGATATTGGTTCACAAAAGGCTTTGCTGATTTAGGCCAAAAATGTTGCCAATAATGTGTCGTCTGTGCAAATTACAAAGTAGACAGGAGCATCCCAATGCCTCAAAGTGCACACCCACCTCCAGTAAAACCTTTTGATCATTGAGTTAACACCTTGTGAAGGAAAGAGGTATTGTTTGGTCATTGTCAGTAAAAACAGTAAGTGGGTGGAGGCTTTTTTAAACTCAAAACAGAAGACGGAAGCTGTAGCTCAAGTTTTGATCAGACAGATTATTCCTAAATGGAGAATTCCAGGTAAAATAAGCAGTGACAGTGGTACTCTTTTTGTTAGTGCAGCACTGAAGAGTGGCAAGTATCTTGGTATTAATCTAAGACAATACTGTGCCACAATGTTCTTGAGATCAAATACCTTAATTTGGGGACTTTTTAAACAAATATTGATATGTATGATTGTTAGACATTAAATCAGCATTTCTGCCCCCCTTTAATGTCTCCATGCCACCCCATGAATATTTCTCCAGACCTGCCTCTGGAAAGTTGTTACTGCGCATGGAGACTCTTCTACAGAGGCTATCAGAGGTGAGACAACCAGCATGAGACTCATAATACTGCAGAATAAAATGGTGTCGGATCAGCTAACTGACAGTTAAGGAGGAGTATGTGCAGTGATTAACATCTTGTTGCACTTTTATTGCAGAGAATGATGCTAATGGAGGTTATTGTCCACAAATTTAAGGCACTTGATTTACTCTCATTGTGTGAGCATGTTATACTCAAAGGAGGAAGTTGTGGTGGGGTTAGACTATGCAGGAAGTGTAATGGATTATTGACAGATAATTTGGTTCGTGCTTTTTTTCTTCTCTCTCTTTTCTTTTAATCCTGAACTGGTGCCAACACAGGCATTTGCAGTTAGGGCAAGGCACAGAAAGCCACAGACTAATTCAACAAACGTGTGGTCTTAATGTAACAGTTGTGAGACAGCGCCTCGTTTATATCCTCACAGAAGTGTATAAAGTATGAACACAGCCAAAAGTGCTCTGCTGTGGGGACCTCTGTTACTCACAGTTTATTATTTTTTGTGTTTATTTAAGACAGATTTCCAACACACCAGTTGTGCCATAACCAACATTTTGCATACATTTGGAGTTTTATTTATTCCTATTCCTGATAAACTAGCATTGCGTGGTACTAATGAATGCATTAGGCCATCTAGTTGCACATGATACATGTATCTTCACTTTAAAACTGAACCCGCGACAGCCTCTTACTGTGGTAAAATACAACTGAAATGACATAAATGTTAGACGGATAAGTGAATTTATTCACATTTTGTTATAAATTATGTTTACTGTGTTAAACCTGTATGAATTAAAGCTTGTGTATGTTCTTTTTAAAACAAACAGAGAAGCCACAAAGGAAAAAAGCAAACACAGGGTTTTTCCCTGGTTGCTTTTTTCCTTCCTCCTTCTCAGAACAAGGCAGGCAGGCTGGCATGAGGCCCAAAATGATTCAATGTTTGACAAGTTGCAAGGAGCAGGCTGTAAGTCAATATATAAGAAGGTGTTTTTGAGCACAAGGTTAGTCTGGACCACACTCAGGTTTATTGCTGTATTGACTTTGACTCTTTCTCATTTGATTCTGCAGACTCCAGAGTATTTTTCTGAGTATATTTTGGAGACTTCAGCAGGTATAAGTGTAAATTAGACTTCCTCCACCAGCTTGTTTAATATTTGAGGAGGACCTTCTGGTTTCCACTGCTGCGTAAACACAAAGACGCCTTCTAGAAGAGTTTTGGGAAGCCTGTTGTAAGTTTTATCTTCTGCTGTATATATTGATTTTAGGCTTTTTCCCTCACATTTTGATTAAAATGTGAAGCTGTTATTTTTATATTTATATGAAGTAAGTGTTTTCAGCAGTTTGATTTGATAAAGTTTGTTATTTGTTACAGATTTGATTATTTATTAAATCATATAATGAAAAAAACATTTTTTAATGAGGAAAAATAAAAGCTCCCCGTTTGAATTTTCCAACATCATCATGAATATCATGACTCTGTACAACGGAAGAGGATTCGGAGCATATCTGAAAAATTTATGTGAGTTTAAAGTAAAAGAATTTGTTAGGATGAAGTGTTCTTTTATGGGTTGAGAAAATTCTCCTACTTCTTGATCTAGAAAAGCTATACAGGTACTACACCCTAAAACATGTTTTTTGATCTGTAAACTGGATTATATGATTATACCATAACTGCAACCTAACTTAACTCTAATGATTGATTGTGTTTGTTCTCTCCTCTGATCAATGATACAGTGTCTGAAGATGGTGAAACTGAAGACAGGGTCTCTCTGGTTCCTCGCTGCCTTCCTCTTCCTGTCCACTGTTCCCACAGTGGCTGAGGTGCTACATGCATTTTCTTTGTGTGAAGGGTTTCTCCTTCAGGGAAATCCGCCACAGATCCCAGGCATCGTAGTCGGCAAGAACATCCAGAAACAGAACCGATACAAACTCATTTGCCAGACTTACAATAATGTGAGAAGGTATCTGACGCTCTACGACACACAGAACAGGATTCCAGTGTTTTCTGCTTACGTGTACAGAGGGGACAACGGAGGGGCAAGACCTCAAGGGGAACTCTGGAAGATCGAACCACAGGTGTGTTTTTCTTTCTCTGGTTCATAAAAGACTGAATTAATAAACATACAGCGATATTGTATTTTGTGTGCCACTCGTGCATCCACATCCATAGAAATACTACGACTATTAACTACTAATAACAATAATTGTAATCTACCACTATAAGGAATAACAATCATACAACTACTTTCACTGCACTTTCATGTAGAGGACACTGGTCTACTGACAGTTTGTTCAACCCTGGTTGGACCCTCTAATATTAAAACAGCTGTCAGAGGTTAGTTTATGGTTTTCTCTTTAAGCAGAGACTCCAGGCTGCAACGTCACACTGGTGATATTCTGTTTTTGTTATTGTCAGAAAAATCCATTAAAAAGCCAACAGCAACAATACTTTCTGACTTCTCCACTCTGTCTGCAGCAGTAAAAAGATCTGCTCACAAATATCTAGTTTTATTTAATAAGGTTCAGTAATTTCCTAAAACACAAGTGTTCTTTATCAAATGCTACTCAAATAGGAGAAAACTGTTCATTTGTTTGGACTATTTTCAGTGGCGGATTAATCCACATTTGGTTGTCTAGTGAATATTTGGTGCAGCAGTAATGTGTATGTGAGACTGAGTTTAATTAAATTACAGTGTGTGCTCATGGCTCTTTATATCTTCCCAGAGAGTACAATTAGCCAGGATAGTTAAAATGTCACAATTATAGAGACGTTCATTAATGATCAATGTCTCTGTCACTTTAAATTGTTTAAAACAATTTCAATGTCTGCAACAATGTGGCTCACTGACAGCAGTGAAGCTCTATAGCACAAAGCAATAAGATTGATTCATTAAATATGATTGTTAATGTACGCTTAATTTACTTTATGGATATCAGCCTTCATTAACTTGGTCTTTGACTCTTACAGCTGGAAGATGAAAAGGCCGCCAGCAAGAACATGGTGGATGTAGAGGCAAAAAAAGTCTACCAAAACCAAGCCGGGGAAACAGATTACGCTGCAGGTATACAGTATAACAGGGGCCATTTTTTTCCAAGTACTCATGCGTTCAATCAAGATGACAAAATATCCACCTTCACCCTGACCAACGTCGCTCCACAAATAACAGCATTCAATGGGGAAAGCTGGGGCAGAATGGAGAGGTGTGTCAAATGTGTTATGCAGAGATACTGCGCGGACAACAATGGTCGTAGACAAGCCTTTGTGGCGGTGGGAGCAATTCCCAGCGCTGAAGACGAGAAAGACCCCAACAAAAACAAACTCAATGGCAGGGTTAATATTCCCTCCCAGCTCTGGTCCGCCTTCTGCTGCTTCAGTGCCGAGAGCAACGCGTGGATAGCGAGTGCGTTCTGGGGCAACAATGTAGCAGATACACGTCCAAACCAACATATGCGCACCAGGACCCTGAGAGAGCTCAATAATAACCTGAGAATTGATGCGTTTACTAACAGTAGGTGTCCTCTTGACACAACTGTTACTGGGCTTTACCCACAATTTGCAAACCAACGTGGCTGCGATTGCCCAACCTGAATTTAATCATGTATGCCCTTCCCATTTCAAGCTCTGCCCCTTTCACTCCCACATCTGGCCCTCTAGCTTCTACATTGGGCATCAATCTTATATTGTAGCCTACCCCACTGCCCCCTTTTTCTTTTAAGCTTCAATCTGAGCAAATTATTTACATTTTACTGTACTATACTTTTAGTGTAATTTCATTTGTTACAATGATAGGACACTGGATGAGTGTCCTTTGAATGGCTTCAGATGGAAGACACAAAGTAAATGTACATGATTTGTAAAATGTGAATGAAATAAACTGCAGAACAGCCTGACTGCAAACACTGTGTGTGAAGTGGTTATTTTATCTTTACAGAGAATGAATTACACACACATCCATCAAACTCTACACGACGACACCAAGAAGACAAAACTGGACCGAACCATATCGAACTTCATAAATGTTCAGTCACACTGTGTAATTCGGCAATAGTTCTTTACTCTTACTATTTAATATTGTGATTGTGACAAATGAGGTGGCTGCATTTTGAAACTAAGATGTCTGTGTCCTTGTTGTCAACATCAGGCAGTGAACAGGAGAAAATTACAGCCAAACCTTCTTCAAAAGTGCATAAATAGGATTAATGGGATATAAACAATGCCCTATACATCCCACGTCCATAAAGAAAGAAGTGGCTTGACTGACAGGGTGAAAGTGAGAGAATAACATAAACATACAAACATTGTACAGAAATCAATTTCAACAAGCACCTTCCTGTGGCAAGCAAATACCAGAATGAACATCTCTCACAGGCAGGTAGATAAAAAAAATTAAAATGTGAAGTTAAAGTTGAACTTTCTCTAAATGCTGCTAGGCACCATGGCTAACTTTTAAGTACAATTCCATCATTTATTTAATATTTGTTGTGCAACAAAGTAAGATAACCATAACTTTTTTTAATCCAGCTACATGTATATAGACATCTATAACATAACAGATCACTGAGACTCAGACTTGAAAGGAGTCACCACATTGAAATAAAATGACCAGGGTGGTTTATTAACTGCATTAATAACAAGCTAAAATAGAAAATAACTATACAAATGATAACTAGGCTAAACAGTGCATAGATCCTTCTGGACTAAGACCAAGATATTATAAATTCATTTACATACTTTACTTTAACTAGTGTTACATTATGTTACAGGCAAGATAAATTGAAGAGGAGGTTGACCCAAGGTTTCCCCAAGGTTGTGTTTTACTCCACCAACAGGTGTGAGAGGGTTTTTGTTGAGACGCTGTCTGCAGACAGTTTGATAGACAGGCTACCTAACCTACCTAACAAGCAAGTCTGAAAGTGACAGTAAAAGGACACCACGCACAAAAGCTGGTCTGTGAAAAAAAACGTAGTACACGTAGTGTTGATCTGATATTAAAGATTCCCACGTCAGAGGATTTAAATTTGACGGAAGGTTTCAGCATTGTCGTTATCTACTGTCCTTCACACAGATGTATAATCAGTCATGCTATGTGAAGAGCGAACAGGTTGTGCAGGGTTTAAGAAAGTTGGCCCTCACACCAGAGCTAAATATGTTCATATCAATTGTGTCTGACAGCAGCGACACATTTCTGGTCTGCAACATGACAACAGATGTGTCTGTGTCTATGATCACATCTCGAAAGGAGTCTGCTCATATAAATCTGCATTGTCTTGGGAAACAACTCTCATTAGGTTATAGTTAACTCCTGAAGGGGTTTCTGAATACTCCCTATTTAATTGCATGTGTGCATTTAAGACCCTTGATTTACTCTCATTGTGTGAGCATGTTATACTCAAAGGAGGAAGTTGTGGTGGGGTTAGACTATGCAGGAAGTGTAATGGATTACTGACAGATAATTTGGTTTGTTCTTTTTTTATTCTCTCTCTTCTCTTTTAATCCTGAACTGGTGCCGACACAGGCATTTGCAGTTAGGGCAAGGCACAGAAAGCCACAGACTAATTCAACAAACGTGTGGTCTTAATGTAACAGTTGCGAGACAGCGCCTACTTTATATCCTCACAGAAGTGTATAAAGTATGAACACAGCCAAAGGCTCTCTGCTGTGGGGACCTCTGATCTCTGTTTGCATGAGCCCTTCATTTACTGTGGCCCCAGAGCGCCATCTAGTGTCCTTTCTGTATATTTCAGTTTGTACTGAACCATATCCAACTTTATAAATAATCAGTCACACTGTGTAAATACTGAAGTCCAGATTCAAAGTACTTCTACTCTATTTGATTTATTATGCTGCTTTACATCTACATCTCAGAGGGAAATATTGTACTTTTTACTCCACTACATTTGTCTGACAGCTTTAGTTACTTTTCAGATTACAATACTCTTCCTGTCCAGTGAAAACCACGTATCTCCAGTATTAATGTTGAATGTTCGTGATAAACTGAAGGATGAAGTGTTGCTTTATGGGTTGAAAAAATTCTCCAATCTCTCAAGCTAAATAAACTATTTAAAATCCATCTTTGATTCGGTAGAAAACAGGACTGAACTTACAGAATATGATGCATTGCAACAGTATGTAAAATAGTTCAAATGAGAGAACATCTCAAGAGTAAAATGCAACATACACATTAATGCAGCAGTTATAACAGATATGATAGTAAAACACTTTGCGTACAATGTGCTGATAATACTTACCTTTATTTAAGGCTCATACAGGTAACTTACATTTTGTGTTGATTCTGGTGTCCCGTAGTGACAAAAAGAGGTATTGTTTCCACCACCTCATTTCATTCATTTCAAGGTTAATCCAACCCGGTGGCAATAATTAAGAATAACTATGTACAAAATAATTTCACTAATGGTCTTATTTGTCTAGAGAGTCTTAAATTGAGTTTTATAACCAGTTAAAAACTTCTTCTGCTGCTCCAATTCAAGTCACATTCTCCTCTGTTCATAGAGCCCTGCCTTTACAACCAGCTACATTGCACCTATTGATTCGGTCCTTAACTGACTCCAAATCTATTTGTTACCTATTGAAAGCTATTTCTATCGTCTTTACAAGTGGTGATTGTAAAATGTGCTGCACACGCAGGTGATGTGATTCACTTTCTATAAGTAACGTGTTACAAGATATAGTACTCTCTCAGGACACAGTAGGGATGGGCGATATGGCTTAAAAATAAAATCTCAGATTTTTTCACACCAAACCCGATTTAAGATTTTAATCGATTTTTTTGTAGACTGTTTTTAGCGGGTGTTTGTGGGCTGTGGTCCTGTATATCTTGCAGAGAGCAACATTTCTCCCACTCGGCTGCATGCCTCTGCTTGAGGTGCTGGAATAAATTGGACGTACTGCTACCTTTGGTTGCAACAGCTTTCAAACAAACTTTGCAGTGGGTCGGGGTTT